TTTCCAAAACATCATCTATAAAAAACAATCTGCAGGATTCAAACAGTCAAAAACTACAAAAACACAATTAAGTTTACATTGAAAATTGAAAACATCATCTAATTTGAAATAAAAAAAATTTCAAAACATCATCTATTATGATACGGAGGAAGTATTTGATATCCATATTCAACAATTTAGAAATTGATTTCTTCTCTTTGATTGGAGAGGAGAATTATTTTAACATTTCGGATAAGTTCTTCATACTGACTTCTGTCATTTGCCCAACTGACCCCAAAATAATGTTATATTTCTAATTATGATACCCATTTGTAACATTCACTTTATATATGTGCTACAAAGTGACAAAGTAGGGAATATCGCCATGCCCGAAATTCATACATATATGCAAATGCCATAAAAGAGTACACATCAAAAAAAAAATTCAATCCTACTAACAACAAACACAAGATGCCACAAAGCATCCAATATAACACTGCAGAGTTTTTGCGTCTAATGTGCTTATTGCAAATCGCTTACAGATTTCACCTCAAGCTTAAACAAAAAGTCGGTAAAGAGGTGAACAAACGAAGAATCCGTACTTTTATTTTTACCAAAATGAGAGAACAAAATGTGAAACAAAGCAAGTGAAAAAGCTCTTACTTCTTCAAGAGCACGGCACTGCATTGCGCCATGATCTTTGATGCTCTTGTGATCGAGTTTGTCATGTAAAAGTTCTCAACGACAGTTTGGAATGGCATTGTGCTCATTGTCTCCTTGCATTCGGGTTTCAATGAAGGCCCAAAAACAGCTGGCTCTCGCTCATCTGCGCAGACCAGATTTGGTGCGACGCTCTTGATTCTTGATCTTACACCTTCGATTGAGTTGTATGGAAGCTTCACACCCGAAACCTCAGATAAGGCTCGCACGATCTTCCAGTCATCTCTTGCATCACCAACCGTTGGAACAGCGGGAACAGTCTGTTGGGTAAACCCTTCTGTATTCTCATAGGTTCCTTCTTTCTCTGTGAAGGCCGATGCAGGTAGAATTACATTTGCCCGGTAAACCGCTTTGTCTCCATGGTGTCCTTGGTAAACCACAAAGGCGTCTTTAGGAATTTTGTCAACATCTACATCGTCTGCTCCCATCAAGTAGACGAATTTTGCAGACTCAAGGGCTTTAGCAGACCGTTGAATGAGACCAAGATCAAGAGCAGCAGCTTGAGCAGCGTACAGAAGGAGAAAATTTAGACCGTTCCAGTCTGGTCGGACAACATTGTTGGCTTGTGAAATGGATTCAACAGCAGAGAGGATAGCGTCTTTATCTGTTCTGTTAAAGATCCCCGCGCCAACAATGATAGCAGGATTTTTGGCGTTCTTGAGAGCCGAACAGAATGGGTGACGTCCCTCAGCAATTTCTTTGAGGGTATCAGGCCCAGTCCCAAGATGTTTGCAGTCGTAGTTGAATTCTGCTGGTGGACCAATGTATGCAACTTTAGCATTCGATGCACGGACTGTCTTGCAGATCCTAGCGTTCACCATTGCAGCTTCTACCCTAGGCTGGTAAATATAGAGAGAAAAAGGTGAATGCACCGCTAAAAACCTCTCACAAGGTTAATATCTTAAAGAGCAAGTTTTGCGTATGAGAAACCAGCTGCCCAAACATGTCTAGCATTGACTTCAATCAAGATTATTAAATCTCAAACAAAATGTTAACATCTAATCTGGTTTTAGAAACCTAAATTTGCTAGCTTCTCCCTTTTAATACATACATATCCAGTACTAGTAAACCCTACAAAGAGATAGGGTGGAAACTCACCTGGGTACCAACTAGAAGGAAAAGATCGGCATTCTCAAGTCCACTGATGCTAGTGTTCATAAGATAGCTGTACCTAAGATCAGCATCAACGCCAACAGCTGTTCCTTCACACCAGACGTTGTCTGAACCCATTCTGTTAACGAAGTCCTTCAATACCATCATGGATTCTGCATCAGATAGCTGACCTGCTACTCCAACAATCTCATCGGACTTCACCTGATGGATGATATCACCCACAACTGCCAAGGCATCACGCCAGCTCACCGCCTTGAATCGTCCATCGGAATCTCGAATCATAGGATCGCTCAGCCTTTGTCTTTTCAGGCCGTCATAACAGAAGCGAGTTTTGTCAGATATCCATTCTTCATTTATATCCTGAAGAAGGACAATCACATGTTTAACATCCAGCAAAGTACTTTCATAATAATGTTTCTGAACACAAGTAAAAAATACCTCATTAAGGCGTGGAATGATACGCATCACTTCTGGTCCTCTACTATCAACTCGGATGTTGGACCCAACAGCGTCACTAACATCAATGGTTTCTGTTCCTTTCAACTCCCAGTTTCTGGCTTTAAAGGCAAAGGGCTTTGAGGTCAAGGCTCCCACAGGACAGATGTCTATAACGTTTCCAGCGAGTTCACTGGTCATAAGTTTTTCAACATAAGTTCCAATTTCTTCTCCACTACCACGACCTAGCATGCCAAGATCCTCAACCCCAGCAACTTCTGAAGCAAATCGTACACACCTACAAAGACATTAAAAAAACATAACCTAATCATCAGAAGCACATATGTATCGCATTAACTAAACTATTACACATGAAGTTAACTCTTTTAGTAACCTTGTACACTGGATACACCGAGTCATAACAGTCTTCACAAGAGGACCGAGGTTTTTATCAACTACAGATCTTTTCATCTCAGTGAAACGGCCTCTGTCAGATCCAAAAGCCATAGACTGATCCTGAAGATCACACTCTCCTCCTTGGTCACAAATCGGGCAATCCAGAGGATGATTCATCAACAGGAATTCCATCACTCCCTCCCTCGCCTTCTTTGCTATTGGGGTGTCAGTCTTAATCTTCATCCCTGTTAAAAATACTCTTAAACATCCAGTATCATACTAAATTACAGAACAAAAAACAATAAACGCAGAAGGAATTTG